CCACCCCACCCCTATCTGCCCCTCCTCTCCCCAAAGAGCCACAAAGTCTTCACTTTTTGGCTGAGAATAGAACAGATGTGTTCTGGCTCTTTGAAAGACAAAAACCCCAAAAGAAAGTGCTTATAAAGCCCTGCTCTGTACCTCAGACCTGGTTGCCTAAAGGGCATGGCCCTGTTATGATTTCATTTCAACATGTACAGTCTCGGATCTCCCATCTTCCAGTAATGCTCCACTGATTGAATTAGATGCAGGGTTTTTCTTTTTCACCGCCCTCTTGGAAAAAAAAAATCAATTTTGATTTGCAAAAAACAAACAGATCTATGGACGCAGAGTTTTTCTTTTTCACCCGCCCTCTTGGAAAAAAAAAATCAATTTCGATTTGCAAAAAACAAACAGATCTATGGTTGTCAGACCTGCCTCTCAGACAAGACCATGTGAGAGAAAAGAACAGTGTTATGCCAAATGACTTCCTGACCCTGTCTTCCCCCTGCCCCCCCCTACTCCCCCAACTATGCTGGATTGCTGCAGGAAAATCTCAATAGCCCACAAGATAATGAAAGAGAACTAGACTGAGTCCAGAGACCCAAGCTCTGAGACTAGCTATGACACTAACTAGCTACATGACCTCACCCAAATGAGTCGTTGCACCTCTATACACCAAATACCCTCATCTGTAAAATGAAAGAAGTAGTGGTAGTATAGAGAAAAAGGGAGTACTAGTTTCTGAGGACAGAGGACAAAGTTGGGTTCTGCTACTTCCTATTTTAGTACCAGTTGTGAACTACATTTCTCCTCTGGTTAGGACTCAGTTTCCTCATCTGTAAAATGAGGTCACTTCCAGCTCTAAAATTCCATGATCCTATGATGTCTGTAACATAGAAAGATGACAAGAGACAATCAAACAGGAACTGAAAAGATTCCATAAGGAATTGTCATTGGAACACCCCTTTCTCACAAATTGCAGGGCTCATCCCCTCAGAGACTCAAATAGCTATTTCAATACTAACATGTTACTATTGAGATATGTTTTACTACTTCAAAGATCAGCACAGTAAATTCTTGGTTATGCAAAATAAAGGGGGAGACACAGTGACATTTCCAATGACAAAATAATTTAAAAATCATTTGAGCTTTTGGATGCTCTGGATTTTTTCTCCTTTTGCATTAGATTTGCCATCCTATTTATACTTCTTTTAAATTAGCATTAAAATTCATTTGCCTTGAGCATTAACCAACTGAAAAGCAAGACAAGTAGTATAACCACCCCCTATACACACAAATATATGTGTATATATGTATGTGTGTGTGTGTGTGTGTATAGATAGATAAGTTGTTAAACTGGGACTGAAACAACTATTCAAAAAACCAAGTTGGGGCAATCACTTTCACCCAAAATCAAATTCTGACAAACTGGGACCAGGAAAATAATGATAAAAAAAATCTCCAAACTCACAAATCCCACTTTGCCCAAGAGATTGCTTCCATCTAGACCTCCAACAAATCAAGCATCTAACAAATGATAAAATTAATTAGCACTTGGTATTGCAGCCAGGAAAGAAAAAAGTGAGAGTACTAGGAGAAGCCAAGCACCTAGATAATCCATAAACTGGATAGCCAGCCAGAATAATTAAAACCCAATCAAAAATTGTTTTCTTTTCTCCTGATTGTCCAAGCAGTCAAGTCAAACACGTCTTTTTCTGCTTAAGGCTTTGCCAATCAATTTAAGACCAAGTAGAAAGAGAAATAAAGCAGTTTCCTATCATGTTATAGCAGACATAGTTTAATCCCAGCACAACAGAAACCTAGCAACAACAGTAGGACGGAGTGCTACAGGCATGAAGAAAGATGTTCACTTTGCTCTCTAATCTTCTCTGATGTATTAGATAGTAAATATCTTTTGAGCTCTTAGGAATTCTGGAATCTGGTACCCAGATCAGTTTGGGAAGAGATAATTCAAGCATCCCTAGCATCAGTCTTCTTGACTATTATGAAAAAGTTGCTCAAAAAGTGACTGACATCACATTTCAACCCTGAAAATCTCTGTAAAACTATAGTTGATCAATTTTTTAAATGTACTGTTAAGTCTTTTTTACTCTTTTAGAAACACAAAGAAGCATTCCTGGGAGTTTGGGGCCTTTTTCCTAAAAAAAAAAAAGTCATCTACCACTCATCTCTGAAGTATAATACCAAATTCCAGCTTAGCTGCCCCTGTAATATGGTTTAATTATGATGACTGAACTAATAGGCTGACATCATAGACTTTTACAGGCTGACCCCATGTCATCCTGATGTATCATTTTGCACCAGTTCAGTGCTGTAAATCAATTTAAGATCTCAAGCAGGTTGAAAAGGCTGGTAATGATGCTTTCTCTGCAGTCTCTAGGGACTCTACATTATACACAACTTACATTATTTATAAAGCTCAATGATGCCTCCATTAGCCTTGTAAGACTACACAAATGAGCCCTTTTATACACACACAATACACAACTTGGACTGTATTATACAGGCTGCTGCAACTTAAATATGGCTGTCTAATTACATCCAAGTTTATTCCTTCTTTCCAATCATTTAGCTATTAAATTTCATCTTTAACCCAGAAATACTCATAAGCCAAGACAGAAACTAAAATTCAGCACATCACCTATTTTAATATTTAGGGAAATAGGATTTCCAGACTTCCTCTGAAAAAAAGATGCATTAGCTGAAGTTGGGTGCTTTTTAAAGCTTCCTAAGATTATCTTTTTTTAATGTAACAATGTTACAAGTCAACATTTATTTGTTTTTAAAGGACTGAAGTTGCCACTTCTTTTAAATGCAGTGGTCATCAGATCTTCAAGGGTATAAAAGAAGAGGATACTGAGAGACAAAAAAATGTTATTTGGTTACATACCTATGGTTAGGTGGGTCAAAACTAAATCAAGGACAAATCCCCACCCTCAGGGGTAACTCAATCCTTCCTTGATCCTCTCTAGAGGTTTCTGCAACACCTAGCCCCAGAAAATCATCTCTGATGTCCCTAGTTATAGTTTCAGAAGAATTGCAATATTACAAGCTGAGCACCACCTGCAGAGAAATATCAAATAACTACAAATGGGAAAGGGTGGGAGTGGAGTGAGAGAAAACACTTCAAGTCTGTATAATATATTTAAGCCCAATACCCACAGACAAAAATGGCAGTGATGCAAAGAACACCGGTGCCAACTGAAAACGTTGGTGCAGTGAACCCTGATCCAACCTAGATTCCTTTTAAAAGCACCGGTTCCACTACAACTCACCAGCCTTCAATAAAAGGTAAAGTGGTAATTATAAATAAACAAGATGAAGATCACAGCACAGTCTTCTCATTGTGTTACTGAAGTGTAGGCATGCCATCCCTGAAAACCAATTAGAAAGAGACGTGTTCTGATAGAAAGCTGTTCTTTGATCCAGCTACTTAAGAGTTTATTTCAGAGACATCTAGGAAGGCAGGCCCAAATCATGCCACTTTGATTGTTTTGTTCTATTTTTTAAACTTCAGGTCCAAGACAAAAAAAAAAAATCCAAAGGGAAACATGCCAATTTTCATGGCAGATCAGAAAGCGATTGACTTTACATAAGAGACCCTGGGCCTCAATTTTCAGGACCAAGCCTCGGAGAAAATCAGGCTTTCAATCATATCATCTTCAAAATTTAGTGGGAAAAAATCCTGCTGTCGTAGTAATCTTAAAGTCGGTCAACATTTGTTCCTCTTTCCCATAATACATCTAAGGGAAAAACCCTGTTCCTATAAATGCTCCCATATATTAGGCATGTAGAAAAACAAGCCCACGTTTCTTTCTCTCAGTCTTCCTTTTCCCTCCCACCCCCCACCCCCTTACATAAACTACTAAGCGAAACACTAACAAAGGCTTGGGAGAGAGTAAATGACACAGTTGTTCACTAGCAAACTTTGCAATACACACAGAGGGAGACAATCGGATCCGGTCGAGAAGGATCCACGGGCGTGGAAGGAAGAAATGGGGGGTGAGGAGAAAAAGGCAACCAAAATCATCTGCCACCAAACCTTGAAATAAATTAAGGGGACTTTTGGTCCGAACTTTCCTTGACCTCCACCCCAAGGATTGAACAGAGGGACAAGAAAGGAAAACGAGCGGGGGTGGGGGGCCAGAGAAAAGCTGAGTTTTCTTTCTTCTCAGCGATCCACACTTCAGAAAAGCTGGGAGCGAGAGTATGCATATGAAAAAGTGTGTGTCTGTGTGTGTGTACACACAAGAGACAAACCCAGCCAAGGCAGTTCCTGAAACTCCCACAAGTTTGGCCGCCCCCCTCCCCTCTCCCCTCCCCGCTCTGAGGGCACAGGACACAAAGGGGCGCCGGGGCGCGGGCCGCCCCAACAGCAGCTGAATCAAAGCAAAGGAGAGGGAAACCGGGAGGAGAGTCAGGGAGACAGGAGCCCGAGCGGAGGAGACCTCGGCCGGCCGAAGTCGCCAGGATAGAAGCGGGGAAGTTCCCCCCGCCTCCCCCCCCCCCGACCCAACAAAGACGCCAACGCAAAGTTGGAAGCTCAAAGCGCACCCCTGCAGCCGGCCAGGGGAGAGGGAAGAGGCGAAGTGGGGGGGCGTGGGTTTCTAAGAGCCGCCGGGCGACGCCATCATGGGGGGGGGCCTTCCATCCTCTTCTCCCCACGAAGAAAAAAACCTTTTCCCCAAGCACACGCACCCAAGTTACCATTCCAGCGCTGCGGCGGGAGTCTGAAATCAGGAAGGGGCAAAAGGGCTGGGGGCGGCCGGGGGTCAGCGGGGATAGAGGACTGCAGCAAACCAGCATTCAGCCACCCCCACCCCCACCCCCACCTCTTCCCGGACGGCAGTACCCCCCAGAGTCCGCGAGAAAGAGGGATTGGGAGGCGGCTCCAAGGCAGAGCAGCCCGGCCGGGGCTGGGAGAGAAGGGAGAGGGATGGAACGTAAAAAAGGGAAAGTTAGGGGCTCGGGGATCGGGTGGCTTCTTTGGTTTTTACCCCGTGGGCGGCGCGCCCCGCAAAGGCGAGTGCAGAAGAGTCACCCCCGGCCGCGCCGCCGTCGTCTGGCCGCTGTGGCTGCCGATCCCGCTGGGGCTCCTGCAGCTCCGGCCGCCTCGCCGCCCCTGCCGCCGGTCCCTCCCCTAGCTCCTGCTCCGGCAGCGGCACCAACAGCAGCAGCAGCAGCCGCAGCAGCCGCGGCACAGTGGGCAGCCCCGCGCCGCCCGCTAGCTCGTTCTCTGCTTTTCCTCTGTCTCCCTCTCTCTCCCTCTCTCTCCCTCTCTTTCTCTCTCTCCCTCCCTCCCTCTCCCGGAGCCTGGATTGATCTGGTCTCGCTGGCGTCAGGGAGTCGGAGCCGCCCAGCCTCCACTACTCCACTGCCAATACACAACACACACACACACACACACTCACACACTCACACACACACACACACACACTCACACACTTACAAACGCTCCACCACCGCCACCCCAGACTAGGGATCCTCTCCAAATTACCGCGCTGAGCACGCTCAGAAGCAACAGCTGCCGCTGCGGCGGAGGCGGAGGCCGCTGCCTTAATGGCCCCCAACAAACACCGCGGGGGAACTAACTCTGGGGACAACTCTCTCCCTCTCCCCCGCTTTTTTCCTTCACCCACCCCCCCCCCCCCCCCCAAAGAAGAGGGAGTGTGGAGTTATAACGCGGTGTTCAGGCGTTCTGAAAGTCTGTTTGCCTTGAGTCCTAGTCGGAGTGACTTGGTATGTATGGTCTTTGCAAATAAAGTTTAGGGCCGTGAGATTTATTTTCTAAAATGGTCATTCCACTTCCCCCGCCTTACCGGGTCTTCCTTCTACGTGGGGTTCTTTTTTGTTTTGTTTTAAACTTTCCAACTAAGACGTCCTCTCCCCCCCATCTGTAATTCCGCCCCCCCCCAATATTTTCAGGGCCCATAAATTCCCAAGTGCAAATAAAACATCCAGAATTAGTTGATCACAGACTTTCCAAACTAGGGAGGGCTGCATAGCTTAGTCTGCGCTCAAGTCAATAGGTTTGCTTTGTGCCAAATCTAGAACCCATTTATTTCAACATGTAATCTTTCTGGCCCAAGTAACGATGCATGCAGCAAAGAAGACATTCCTTGAGAAAGCGAAAAAGCTACAAATTTGAGGGCATTTTTTTTCCTACACCACTGGCAAGCCCTTCAGAGATGACCACACAGCTTGAGGCTTTACCTAGGCTTCCTAGACATTAAAAATCATTTTTACTCATCAGAAACACTTCTCTCGGTCACGAGTTTGGAAGCTGGTATGAAATCTAGGGTAACTAAAGCTAACACTCGGAGGAGACCCAGTCCATTCCAAGATTAATTGCAGTCTAAGAACTAGGCTCAGCCATCCTAGCTGGAGTTGTAAAGACAAAACAAAAATCAATCTCTGCCCTCAAGGAGCTTGCATTCTACCCCCGGGATACAAATTTAAACAGATAAATCTAGCCTAGATAAACGTGAAGAAAGAGAGCTCTATCCTTAGTTAAGTTTAGTTTAAAAAAACAAAAGGTGTATTCACAACAAAATAGATGTAAAGAAAACAGCAACTGCAATTAAGGACAACACTCCGTTCCTACTTAAAATTCCTTTTTTTTTTTTTCATTTATTTCCCATTATTCACCTAAAATGCAGCTTTTCCCTACTCACCAGCACCCCTTAAAATCCCTAGTTTCTTTGAAAACAATTAGTGAGGAATAGTCTTATGACAACAAGTAGTTGTTAAAGCTATGTATCTTTTAAAATAACCCTGTGTTAACTTTGTATTTATCTATATACACTCTTGGAATATAAACTGGAAACTCAGGATTGGCGCCTTATAGTTTTGTATCCACAGTACCTGTGTCCTGCACACAGTAGGCACTTTGTAAAAAGTTTTTTGCTGTTTATATGATTTATAGTTGAAAGGGACCCCCCAAAGTCATCATTTGATGCTGTTAAAAATGCACTCTGAATTTGGATTGGAGGGAGATTTGGGTTCCAATGCTCAACACAGCTTGTCTGATACTAAGTCTTCCTCTTCCTGGGCCTTAGTTTACTCAACTGTAAAAAGAAAGAGGGGTCATAGATGACCTCAATGGTATTTTTCTGTTCTCCTCTCTGACATCCCAAAATATTCCATTTCATTTTTTTTTAACAGCTCTAATCATTAAGAAGCTGTTCCTTATATTAAGACCAAAATCTACCTACATAATGTCTCTGTATTGGTCTAAGTTTTCCCCATGCAAGCCAAACAGAAGTCTCCCATATGACGTTCCTATGTGAAGACAACCATCCTACCCAACTAAGTCTTTTCCAAAATTCTTTTATTCTTCATCCTTTCAGATATAAGCAATGTCTTCTAGGTTCCAAAGTGCGTGTCTGACTGGGCAAGTTACTTCGCCACTCTGGGCCTCAGTTTCCTAGTTAATAAAATAGGAGTGGGCCAGTGGTGGTGAAGCAGAATCTAAGGTCCCTTTTAGGTATAAATCTGTGATTCTATGATCTGCAGTCCAGCTTCCCTTCTTTTTACAGATGAGGAGTCAGACCTGCAGAGGGGAAATCACTTGCCCAAGGTCTCACTGGTCACAGATATTAATGAATGCCTGCCTTTACAAAAACAAAGACAAAGAATGATTTTTTTAAAAACTGAAAAATTAGGGGATTATGTGCATTACAAAAAGATTCACCAATGTTCCCTTAAATAGCAGCTCCCTAGCTACATTTAAGTGTTTGTTTATATCAGCTTCCCAGGTGCATTTAAGTGTTAGTTTGAACTTAAATGGCCTCCTAGGATAGCTGCTATTAAAAGGAATCCTGCAGTGATAACTACTGGGGGGGGGGGGGGGTGATGTTGAAAACACATTTACTGGGAAAGCCTAGGGGTGGCTATAGTACAGTTCTGTAGATGCAGATGACTAATTGACTATGGAGTCGATATGCATGCATAATGACACTTACTGGCCTAAAGAATCTACACATTGACCTTTCTTCAGGGGTTCTGCTCAAAAAGTTCACCAAGTACTTCAGTCTCTCCCCTCCCTCCCTCCTTAAGCTATAAGAATGATGCAGTCTCAGAACCCAGTTTAACTGGAGGACTCTGTGAGAAGCCTCTTTTCCTGGTTCAAACTCCCAAGTTATCTATTCTGGAAATTCAAATTTACGGGGTGTTTTTTTTTCCTGACATAACCTGACATAACCACTTTACAACAATCGCCTTCAAGGATCTTCTTTCTCATTGTCAGAATTTCACATTTAATTCCAAATTCTAGAAATTTAATTTCATTGATTTTTTTCTTGGAGTTCCTCAACAAATAGAACTAAATAAAAATTCACACCAAATTTTTATTAATCATCCCATATTTTCTGAAATGCATACATTTTGTCATTTTTCACTTAACATTATTATTGGTAGGATCCAAATTTGCCTGTATCTGGACTGGAGTTTGAGCAGGGTTCCTGTTCCTTTCCTATTCTGTCTGTCTTTCCTTCCATGTGTCCCTCTTCCTTCCTTTCTTCTTTCTTTCCTCCCTCCCTCCCTCCCTTCTTTTCTTTCTTTCTTCCTCTTTCTCTTCTTCTCCTTCCCCTTTTTCTTCTCTTCCTCTTTCTTCTCCTCCTCCTTCTTCCTCTTCCTTCTCCTATTTCTCCTTCCTTTCCCCCTTCTCCTCCTGTTCCTTCTCCTTTTTTTCTGTCTTTCTCTTGTCATTTTTTTCTGCTGAACTATCCATTGACCTCCCCTTTTCAGTGAGCCAGCATTTATTAAGCACCTACTATATGCTAAGCTTTGTGTTAGACTTTGGGGACTACTAAGATAAAAATAGCAAACAGCTGTTGCCTTCAATGAGATTACATTAGATGAAATACTAGATATAAACAAATAAGTATAAACATGATAATTTAAAGAGAGATCACTAACAACTATGGGGATCAGGAAAAGGTTTTCATAGGAACTGGAAAATAGTATAATGAGAATGTAAGCATTTATATACTACTCAAAATTTTGCAAACCTTACCTCTTTTTATCCTCACAACAACCCTGAGAGGTAGTCACTATTATTATACCCATTTCAGAGATGAGAAAACTGAAGCAGAAAGGGTCACACAGCTAGTAGGTGTCTGAGGCCAGGTTTGAAATTGAGTTTTTCTGACTCCATCACTCTCTCCAATGTGCCACCTAAATACCTTGGAACAATGAGAGCTAAGCCTTGCAGGAAGCTCAGAATTCTAAGAGAAAGTCCATTACAGGCATAAGAAACAGACCTCCCTTGCAAAAAGCACATGGGGAGGAGATAGAATGCTGAGTTTCCTCTTATACTTTCTACCCTCTTATCTTTTCTCAATCACACAGAACTTCAGTATTCTCATTTTTAAAACCCAGTTAAGTGAGTGTCTTAGGGTTCACATCAATCCATTTGGTTATTACGTCCACTGCCACTGAATTCCTTTGGGGGACCCCAGCCTGTGACATCAGTTCTTTTTCAGATTGCCTGGCATAGGCTTTTGTTTATCAACCTGGACCATGTCATAACATTGAAGAGCCTTAGAGCTGGCCATAACCTTAGAGAGTAACTAGTCTACCATCTTCATTCTCCAGAAGAGGAAGCAGAGTCTTTGAGAGATTGAATGAAGCCAAGTAGTCAAGTTCAGAGCCCATTTCACTCGAGCCTATCAAAGTCTTGGCTTCCAAGTTCCTACAAAGAGATAGTACTTTCAGTTCAAACAATCATCCTGCTAACATGTTTTCTGGGAAACCCAGAAAGCATTCATTCCTTAGCAGCAAAATTATTGACCTCTCATTTGCATGATTTCACTTGACTCCCATAGGGAAGCAGTTGCATGGGTCTTTTCCCCATGGGGAGGATGACATTTTCCCACCCCAAATCTTTCTCACAGTGTCCCTCACAGTGTCTTCTGTCCCTTTCCTTTCCATGTCTATTGATGTTTCATGTCTAAACTCTTAGAAAAGCCTCCTAGCTGTCTCTAGTCTCTCACTGAAACCAATCCATGCTTCACAGGTGTATAACCAGAT